GGGTCATATCATGGCTACTCCGCCTCATGAGCTGTGCAGGCTTGGGCAAATTTCTCAACTTCATTGAGCCTCCAAGAGCTTTCTCATCTAAAAACGGGGATAGTGTTATGCTGCCAGAGGTCGCCTTCCTTCCCTCCTTTTCAGAGACCTCTCTGTCAGGTCACCTGGAGGGACAGGGGAGTCCAGACCTCAGGAATAACCGGTCCTAACTCTATCGGGGAATGTGGATTACACTACAGTATGCAGCTTAGCGACTGCTCAGCAACTTGGCATCATAGAGATCAAATAAGTCAACTAAAAACAATGTATTAATTAGTCGCCTCCTTTTAAAAAATGATTCATTTACATTTTAAAGTCCTAGAATCAGGAATGGTAAGGGGCGAGACATCTTTCATGCAGGGATATGGAGATATTAACTACTATGCCTTTGCTCAACTTTAACATCTCTTCCAATGAGATCCATAAGAGTCAGAATAAAACTTGAATTTTACAAGCGAAAAACCATTAAGGACTAGACACCGAATGCCAGAAAAAAAAAAAAAGAACCAATCAATTAGTAACTATGAGAGGTTGATCACCTCGCTGCTTCTCTCTCAGGAGGAAGGTGAATGTTTAGTGCTATAATAATCTGACTTTCAGATTATTATTTCTGTCACATGGCAGAAGAAGAGGAACACTGAAGCAAAAATAAATTAAAGGCTTGCCTCTGGGTATCAACATGGTGTGTGCATTAAGTCTTCGAAACATTTCTATTACCTCAGTAACCCAACTTCTATAAATTTATAATAAGCAGAAAATGGAAATGAGAAAACTATTATATAAATTAGTCATACTATTAGCCATAGCAAAACAAGAACAAACCTCCAACACTGGGGAAATGTTAAAATAATTGAGAGTCTATTCACAATCTTCTGCTGAAAAGTGGACTTGCAAAGAGATTTCAGTGATGGGGAATGATGCTTACAATTTGGTAACTGGGTACAGAACTGTAGATAATATAGTCTGAACTATGTAAAACCACATCTGACTGTGTAAACATACCATAAGGTTATCAGCAATAATATTAAAAGTTACTTCTGTTCATGTTTTCTGTATTAATAAGCTTTTGTAACAATACATACTATATTTTATTCAGGAAAAAAAAAAACAGTATTTAAGAAGCCACAGACTTAACAGCCTTAAGTTTTAAGTCTCAGTAACTAGATCATTCTTGTCATGCTGATGTTATACACATAAAACCCTGATCCAGGGTCCAACTTTATTCTTCTTACCAGATTTTAAAAAACTAATACCCTAAATTTTAATAACCTGTAAGGTTCTCCAGACATTGTAGACAATGATAAACGGCTACTTTGTTTTACAAAGAGAAACTGAGATACAGTAAAGAACTCTCCTAGGTCCACTATCAGCTGTGTCGAACTTGGCCTGGTTCCTTAACTTTTCTTTAAGCCAGAGTGTCTCCATCTGTAAAATGTGCGTTATAATAGCACCTATCTCTATATGGTGCCGTGAGGATTCAATGGTGTGTGTATAAAGTGTTCAGTACACTGTCTCGCATAACTCAACACTCAGACACGTTAGCTACTATATCATTCCCAATCCAACCAACCAGTCAACACTAATAAAACCCCACAGACCCCAATCCCAATTCAAAGCTTCAGTGACGTAGAAAAGGAGATGAAAAGCAAAGCCCGACATCCTTGAAAGCCAGTAAGGATTCAGAAGACAAACCCCAGGTCCACAATATACCTTGCATCCAGCTTCGGAGCATTCTTGCTGGGTCAGGAAAGTGAAAACGAGGTGCCAGACGGCCAAGAACGGTGGTAAAACACTGCCAAAGAGCAGGAAGAGAATCCGCAGGATGGGAACGAATAGGAGACGCGGCCCGTGGACTGTGGCCAGAACCCAAGAGCAGAATTTTAAAGAGATGAAAGAATGCACAGGCAACTGAGAGCTCGGTGCGTCCAAGGACAACCCCAAGGGGTAAGAAGTGGAATTTGAAATCCCAGGCTAATTTCTCAAGAGGGAGCCAAAGCAGAGTCTGAGAACCTTCCGTCTACTTACGTTTCAGTGCAGCGGCCTCTCCGGCCGCCCTTACTTCAGCCCAACGGAAAGTCCAATAACCAGTGCTAAAATGCCCAGCAACACAACTACTACCACAATGATAATTATCAATTTCTGCAGATGAGGATAAGAGAAACAAAAACGAGTCGTTATTACAAACAACCCAAAAGCGATAATCATGCATCTAAAACCCGGCCCCTCTCAGCCCCACATAGAAAGCATCTCATCAGTTCAAATAAAAAGCCTACCTCTCTACCTAAAGCCATCCTATTAGGATACTTTATATTTGTTAGATTACTTCTTGACTAGCTATGTACTCCAGGTGGAAATAGGAGTTTCTACCAGCTCTCAGCTCATAGTGCAGTCTTGCATATGTGGACATAAGAGCAACTATCATGGGCTCTCCAAGCAGCAACAGGACAAGATATAAAGTGACTGCTTTTTCCTTTTCGAGAGGGAATGTGAAGACATTTCTGACACAGTCCTCACTTCACACCTCTGTCCAACTCTCCCCTGAGGTACCCCCGCATCGGGTCAGCCCCAGCACAGCCGCTGGGGATCAGAAAGCCCCATGTGCCTTTTGTGAACCAGCCTGGATTCGTCGTGTGAAATAACTCCCCAGCTCCCTGAGCCCCTGTGCAAGCAACAGGTAAAAATGGAAGAAAAACAAAGAACTGAAGAACAAAAATATCAGAGCCCAGGAGAAATAGTCGGAAAAGAGTCTGAGAAAAGGAAAAGCCAGAGTTGGCTACCAGTCAATGAGCGGAGAACTGGGAAGGCCTCGAAAGGCAGGGGCTGGGGAGAAAGGATGGTGTGATGGAAAGAGCGGGATTGGAATCTGAATTCGAATCCCAGTTCCTGTCGCTGATGAGGCAGCCTGAAACCAACGACTTTACGCAGACCCTCAAGTGTGTCATCTACAAAGGAGAAATAATAGGTGCTCCATGAGATGTGAGATCACGTTTACATTGCCATCTGCACAGCACCGGGTTCACGGTACAGAAAAGGAGAAGAGGGCGGGGGATGGGCAGGGCTTGGGCTCCTGGCGTGGAAGACGGTGATGAGAAGGTTTCTGAAGACAGAACGGTCTCGTGTAACATCTGAATGGATCATGAGCTCCGTGCAGGAGATGAGTAGCAATATCTGGGCAATACACCCATCCTACACTACTGCCTTCAAGCGTGGGTGCTTGGGTAGAGAGCACGTGAGCCAGATCCATGCGAGGCACACCTGGGAAGGAAGGGCAGCTAGTCTCTAGGACAGACCGACACAGGTGTTTGGATGAGGCCAGGGAAGAGAGGGGAGGCATGGGCCCAAGGACACAGGTGGGGACGCCCGGAGCGAGGAGAGGCGAGGCGGGCGGGCTGGGACTACGGTGCTCACCCTCCGCGCTTCGCTCTGATACTTGACGGCCTTTTTGGTATCGGCCACGGCCCGTTCCACGAAGCCCACTGACTGGTCCATGTTGTTTTCGATACGGTCGATCATGGCTCCCTTTCCCCGGACGCGAGAGGTAGAGGCAGCGCAGAGAGAGGCAAGGACAGGGAAGAGAGAAAGAGCGAGAGACGGCAGACAAAATGGACCCTTCTCCTCCGGCAGCGAGAGGGCCTCACCTTCCGGGCCTGACCCTGGTATTTCACGGCTCTTTTCGTCTCGTCCCGTGCCTTCTCCACGTGGTCCACTGTGTGCATGACGTTCAACTCTATGTTATCTAACATCTCACCCTGCAAGGAACAGACACTTGTCACACTCAGTAAACCCCGCCCCCCCAGGACAGTCCTAAGTATCCTCCCCACCCCACATCGTAATCTTCAACACCAAGAGAAGCATCCAGAAGCCTTGACGTGCAGCCTTCCAGAAGGCATGCTTTCACATTTTCCACATGATTTACTCATGGTTCTCCCGTCCTAGGTGGTCGCTCATTCAACAAACGTTAGCCAAATGACTTCTCTGTGACAGGCCCCGGGCTGGCTACATGAAGCACCCTGACTCGACGCCCAGTAACTCCACATGCTGATGGATCCCACCACCACCACCACCACCACCATTTTTTAAAAATGAAGCATGTGAGGAGAGGAACCAAAATATCTCATGTTCTTAAGACATGACGAGGATCTTGGCCTCTTCTTCCTGGTCATTCGGGCCTGAACCAAGTTCGTCTGGCCAGAACTGAGTTTCCTCACTACTACAGACCGGTGCTGGGTCCACAGCAGGTGCTCGGTAAGTATATCTGACGCTGGGAACATCTGCTTTCTGTAAGAGACATTCCCAGGCTTCTTAAGTGACAGACACTGGGTCTCTCTAAGCCGTTTGGCTAAGAGGCAGTGATCTCTTAACAAGATTTCCAACCATTTCAAAGCCATTACTTCCTGATGGGAAGTTCTGTCATTCTAATTAACTCCCGGGGTGTCTTAGGGTGGGAATTCGCCTACCCTACCCAGACTTTCCTCGACCCGAACCAACCGACCCAAACCAACCAACCCGAACCAACCAACCGGTCGCTTTATGGTGGTCTATAAACAGAGAAAGACACTTACCACCACTTGACTCTCAAACCAGTTCCTCGGCAAGGCAGTGTGGGGAGGAAAAAGAAGAGTGGGGATGGAGGGACTAGAGAAATGCTCTCGAAGGCCGGGAGGGGCTGGAGCAGAGGCACCTGGGCACTGATGTCAACAGCCACTCAAGCAGTGCTCGGGCTCCGCTTAGGTTTTGCATTCCTTCTCCAAAGGAAGCAGTTTTCAATCCTTTCCAGCTGGTTCATAGGAATAGCGGCACACCACCAGGACAGAGGCGTATCTGACTGTCATAAGAACTATGAGCCATCTGACCAAGTGCAACTAACGCCATATGCGGAGACTTACATCCCTGAGACGTGTTCCCAGGGATGAATCGAGCCATCAGACTAAGAACCATGAGTGGTTCAAGTTTTTCTGTAAATATTATTTTGCTATTCCTTCTTTCATTGTGTTGTCTGCTCTTGTTCCTGAGCAAAAAGTGTCAACGTTTTGAAAAAACACATACGGAAAGCAAAAAACGCACATGGGAAAAAATTAAAACCTCTGTTAAACCTAACTTTTCATTGTGAACTGGGGAAAAGATCACGTTTTCTATGTCCTCAGTGAAACAGTTCGTATCAGGAGACTGAGACATCACCATTAAGAACTCATACCTCTAATTTTAAAAAACAAAAAGACGTCCTGAGGCCAGAAGGAACTAGGTACTGACAGAACACTTCAAACCCCATATTAACTAGGAATGAATTCCGGCCAAAGTACCAGGCACAAATGACAAAGCTGAATGAAGCTGCCACCAGCATCAGTGTTCAAGACTGCATTCTTTTCCCCGGGATACTCGAGTTCTGTTTCTCCATCGTGCAAATCTCTCCCGCCTCTCCCACCTCCCCTGACTTCCAGCATGGTTCCTCGTGGTCCTCGGGAGAGCCCGAGCTTCCTGCTCCCCCGCCTCCCCCGGCTGGCAGCCACGGCCGGTTACCTGGTTCTCCACCAGCATGGCGATGTCCATAAACATGTCGTGCAGCTCCTTGATGCTGCTCTCCAGCCTCACGATGTCCTTGTGCCGCCCCTCGATCTCGCTGAGGGCTTGCTTGGAAATCTGAGAGTCGATGATCTGCAGGAGGCCATGCAGAGACTTGCCATCGGCCACCGTCCCCGGCTGCAGCCTCCACATCTGCTCCGGAGCCTGCCTTTGACGTGCCACCCGCTACCCACGGAGCACCCCAGCGGCCCCCTCCTCGAGGAGGGGCGTGCAGCCCAGCTCCGGGGTCGCTCACCCCGGAAGTGAAGATGGCAGGGTTTCCACTCTCCAGCATCTCCTCCAGCTCCTCATCTGTTGTCTTTTTGCCGGCTTTATAACAAAAGAAGGAGAGCATCACATACGAGATCAGAGCGAACCATTTCAGAAGCTATCATACGCTCCCAAGAGCCTCCTGACTCGTGTCTTCCGATTTCTCCCCTAATCCAACCCCCACTTAACGTGATCAGCACGTACCTGTGGAGCACACAACTGACCACATCCTTCCCAGATCATTCACTGGCCCCAGCACTGCACCGTGGAGTCCCGGGCCCTCAGCACAAGGAGACGGTCCCTGGATGGACTCGCTCTCCGTCCCTCTTAGCCTCACATGGCTCCTTCCAGATGCACCTTTTCCGGGGCCCCGATGACCCGCCCCTCCTCGATGCACTTGCTTTTCCTGACTCTGTCCTTGTTTCCAGCTCCCCCAGTTTCAGGGCACCCCCACCCTGCAGGGCCCCGCATCCCGCTTTCTAAATTCCTAAGGAGTGTGGCTTTATAATGTCTTTACTCCTCCCGGCAATGAGCTCCGCTCCTGGGAGTTCATAAATGTCCTTCTGACAGCAAAAGATGTGACGAATCCCAAGGAGAGCAACTGCTTCCCCTTATGTTTAGGAAACGCTGGCTCCCACAGGAGTAAAATCACCCTGGGCCTGATAAATGCTGTGCCATCTCTCAGCCTGAAATGCAACATCTAGGAAGTGTCCCGGCCGTAACGCCTGTTCTGGGATTGGGCACAGGATGTGAGACGGAAGCCACAAGGGTTGCTGCTCTGTGTCCCCAGGTCTCACAACTCAGAGGGACGGCCACGTGTCAGGGAAAGGTGAAGGGGCGCCCCAAACGCCAGACACGCACTGATCTCAAGCTGCCGCTGGATCCGCCCTTTGCTGCGTTCGCGGAAGTCCACCTGCGCCTCGTTGTATTTGGTCATCACCTCCACGAACTTCCGCGAGAGGACCGAGTGCTGTGGGAACAAGGTCAAACGCCGTCAGCCTCCGGGAGGTGAGGGAGGTGAGGGAGGTGAGAGCCCCTAACTGCTGTAGAACCCTCCGCCCCGCCCCCCACCTGGCCTCGTCTGCGTCTGCAGCAGCACTGGCCTTGGAACCAAAAGACCGGGTATGAGACTCGACTTTTCGGTTTCCTAACTTTACTCCACTGGGAGAGTCCACCGACCTTTCCAAGGCATGTTCTCGGCACCCGTTTACCTGCCCTGCTGGCCGCAGGTGGCAGCTGTGTGGCCTCACGCAGTCATCTCTGTGAACCTCGGAGCCCAGCACCCACGTGGACTGCGAGCATTTCCCAGGCAGGACCCTGGCTTGCTTCCTAAAGCTGCCAGACGCCCTTCCTGCCAGAGACTCTGAGTTCCTACCCGAACTGATCTTCCTGCCTTTCCTTGCTTCTAACTGGATGCGTTCACCCCACAGCCATCAACCATGACTGGTTTCTCCTTCGACTATGGCCCTGTCCTCTGCTCTAACCTGGGCAGCTCCTCCTTACCAGTTCAAGTAAGAATTGTATTTAAAAAAAAAAAAAAAGAAAAGAATCCTCAGCTAAAGAAAAAACAAAAATCTAAAAGATGAATTAGACCATCGTTAGACCGGAGAAAGTCCCACCTGGGATTTTCGAATCCGAAGGTCTGCTGACGAGCGCACTTCATCTTCCTCAATGTGCCTCTCCATGCCTAGAGAGGAGAGAAGGGTTGTTCCAGCAACACCTCTGCTGCTCTCTTCCAAAAACACACTAGTTGGTGCAACTCTCACTCCCTCTCACACGCCCAGCGCACGGAGACGTGACAGCAGGCAGGTACCATTTCAGAAGGTCAGCTCCCACGTGAGCCCCACAACTTGCATCCCACACCCTTCACTATTTCCGTGTCTTCCCTGAATCCATCATAGCTTAGTGGTTAACGGCATGAGTCTTTGCCACCAAGAAACTTAGCCTCGATTCCTTGTCCTGCCACTTATTAGCTGTGTGACTTTGGGAAAGACTCGTCACCTCTCTGTGTTCCTGTTCCCTCATCGGCAAAATGGAATAAACGAGAGCACGCCCCCGACGCCCCTGGTGTGGACGTGAAATGAGAATGCACACAGAGGGCTTGGCCCGGGGGCGGGCGCGTTATCACTGCTGCTGTTGGAAGCTGCTACTGACGACCTCCATCTCCGCCCCCATGGAAACAAGTACTGCGATCTGGTTTTTTTTGGAAAGAGATGATATATGGGGCTGCCTTCACTCTCTGACCAGTAACGCGCATTCACCAAATACATGGGGCAAGAATGTAGACCACAGCCATGGAACTAAGAGACCTTCTGGGCCCCCAGAGAAACGGAATCTAGGACAGTAGCGTCACTGAACAAGGCTCTAAACTGAAGGGGTGGGCTGGAGGGTAATGGGAGCATGACATACCTGGCCCTACCAAGAAATGTCTATAGGTTGAATAATGTACCTCGTCTATCTGCCCATCTCTACCATTACTGTTCAAATGGAGATAGGTGCTGGGGAAACAGGATCCGCAAGAGAAAAGCCAGGGGACTAAGTGAAAGGACCAAGTCGCAAGACTACGCAGCAGCCGAGAGCACACGTTAAGGCCCATCTCTGAACTTCGCTTCTGCACAATTTTGACTATAGTCATAATCGAGAACAGGTAAAACTTCTGGGGCTATACTCTGTCATTCTGGGGACGGTGCCCAAACCACAAGCAAAGATAGAGCAAAGGGTGTCACGTCTATCAGGATGCGTTTTGTTCCGGAAGAGCTGGACACTACGGGCGTGAGACAGGCGGTAGGGGCCGGCCTGTTCCCTGTGTCCCCTTCTTACTCTTCAGTTTGTTCCGGACGTTGTTGGCCCTTTTCTTGATCTCAGTCGTGAGCTGCTCGAGGTCATCCTTGGTTTCTGGGTAAACAAAGGCAGGTAGAACCAGAAGAAAAAAACGAATTGTTTTTGCGAAACCCAACACTAACAGAGGAGGTAGGAGCTTTCCCGGGTGCCCGTCACCCAGAGCAACGCTTATCCCGTGCCCCCCAGGCCTCCACCCTTATAGTCACAGAGTTTATTTTTAAAAGGCATTTCCCAGGCACACCATCCAAGACCTACAGAATAAAACACCCAGGGTTGGAGTCCTACAGTCTGCCTTTTTAACAAGTCTTCCCAGGTAATTCTCTGGCACACAAAATCTTGAGAACCTTGCTTTCAGAGCAGGGGTCCCCAACCTTGGAACCGGGCCGCACAGCAGGAGGTGAGCGGTGGGCAAGCAAGCGAAGCTTCATGTTTTGCAGCCGCTCCCCAGCGCCAGCATCGCCACCTCAGCTCCGCCTCAGATCACCAGGTATTAGATTCTCAGAGGCGCACCAGTCCCTGGTGCCACAAAGGTTGGGGACCGCTGCCTTAAGGTCAAAGGCTCACTTTGGTTCAGCAGGTAGGCTAGGGTTTTATGGGACTTCTAAGGAAAAGAGATTTCAACCAAGGTTCATCGGCTAAGAATCAAGCAAATATTTATGACATACCTACCGTGTACACAAGGCTGTCCTAGGAGGTACGCAGTGTAGTATTAGCTCTGACCACTTATTCCCAAACTATCCTCCAGCATTTACTACAAGCGAGGACCTGAGCTGGAAACTAAGCCTTCAGAGGGAAGATAAAGAGCCTGCCTTCAAGCTATTCAAGGTCTAGTGGGGGACAAGGGACACATTAACCAACCATTCTAATATACGATATGGAGTAAGGTATAAGAGCTGGTCCAGGCATGCGGAGGTGGTTATGAAGAGACCCCTAGCATATCCTAGAGGGACCTGGAAAGGCTTAAGACAGATGATAGCGGGATTGAGTCTCGAAGAAGGACTGAGTTAACCAGGTAGAAAAGGAGACCAAGAGTGGGGTCTCAGGGAGAAGGAACAGTATGTGAAAGACAAGAGGGAACAAGAAGCATTCGGGGAACAATGTTTAGTCTGGCTATAGTGTAGGTAGCACAGGGGAGGATGGCAGGAGGGAGGATGGCTCAGAAGGCAGGAATGTGTTCAAGACAATTCCCATATGCTCTGCTAACATGTTTCAACTTTAAGTAACAGAGAGTCTCTGAAAGATTTAAAAAATAAAATAACGGTGTCTACCTTGTTACCTGTTCTTAAGGAAAGTAAAATATAGCCTTAAATCCTACTCTAAAAATGTAAAACAATAAAGGGGAAAAATGTTTGCCCCTTGGGAGTTTAGAGATGGGGGGGACTGACGTGAACTTAAACTATTCTGGAACACCTCATGAGAAAAAAATGGACTTGATCTGGTCGGATCTGGAAAGGCAGCTGGAGAAAGCATTTCAGGCAGAGGACACAGCACAAGCAAAGGTGCAGAGGTGGGACAGAGATGAGGTAGATAAGAAGCCGTAAGAGTCACTGCTAGTCATGAGAAGGGCGTAAAGTTCAGCTAAATGGATTCAGTGAGACCATGAAGAGAAGAGCTGACTGTGGCTCGGCGGTGTGAGCTCAGACACGGTAAAGGAGAATGGGAGATGCTATGACACATACAAGGGATATTATAATATGTACACTCCCCTGCTGGTCACCGAGGGAGGAAAACCAGACCGGCTCAGCCCCAATGCCAAGGGTCACTGCTGGCTGACTCAGTTCTGAGCAAACACTCACTTGGCTCTGGAATTGGTGCAGACAGAATGATACTGTAGAGTTTCTTAGCCTCCTCCACATGCTCAGAGATCTTGTCAATGTTGAGCCGAGTTTCCTCGATCTATAATCAGGAAGACAATAGCCTTTGTCATCGAAGAGGAAGGATACACCCAGGACTGGGATAAAAAGTTTAGCAGAGCTCCCGGGTGTGAGCCGCCCACCTTCTGGGTTTGTGGAAGGTGACGATGACTAGAATGCCTTCTGCTGCCCAGTAAGTACCCTCTCCATAGTCAGATAAACTAATCTCAACAGAGCGGTCGTTGAAAATCCATACTCACCGCTTCCTGAGAGGAATACCTCTGCCCTCCTCGGAGGGCGGCATTCAGGCCAGAGTCAAAAAGAGCCAGGGCGAGCCAGGAAGGAGAATCAGAGGGAAGGGTCGCACACCTGACAAGGTAGATCCTGTAGCCCCTTGCCCCCGCAGAGTGAGAACGGAAAAGGGTGAGGATGAGAGAGAGGGAAAAACAGAAAGAAGGAAAGAAGAGGTGAAAAGGAGAGCGGGGGAATCAGAGTGAAAAGCAAGGAGAGAAGAATGAAGAGGAATAAAGAGAGAAAGAGAGAGAGAGACTAAGCAGTGACTGTCTCCGGAGACAGCCGAGTTTCTCTGGGACACGTGCTCTGGTGAAAGGCCTCCCACCAGCCGGCTCCCTCCGGACGATCAAGACCCAGAAGCTCAAGCCCCGGCCGCGCCTGCCCATCCCTGAGTGAGTGCGCTGGGTGCAGAGCACCAAACGATGCCAGCAGCACCGCGTTCCCAGGCAGAGCAGCGCCGCGCCATGTGCGGCACCTGCCACCCCGGCACCCTGGCCCCCGCCGCGGCGGGAGTGGCGCGTGCCACAGGGGCCGGAAAACCCGCCGCGTCTGCCCGCCTCACTTCCAAAACGAGGGGCACGTGTTCAACGCCACGGCGCGGAACCAGCGGAAATGCCGCGAAATGCCACGAAATGCCGCACGGGAGGCTCTGAACCTCCGAGATGCGCCAGGAAGACCGCACGGCACGCGGCTCCCAGCGGCCCTTTCTCCCAGGGACGAAGGCGCTCGCTCGTCAAACCTGATCCTCCGTTCTCCAAATCGCAGAGGCAGGAGAGGGAGTCAAACTTGAGTTCTCTAACCCTCTCTAAGGGGTGTCTTTGTCACTGGAGCAGTGATTTTTTTTGTTTTTTTTTTCCCCTCCATACATACATACTGGCTTTGATGTACCAAAGTTGGAGAGTTGAATGACTTGCTAAAGATGTAGAATAACGTTTCGGTGCGATCGTATCGCCGGAGTACGCATACAAATACAAGTAGCCACCCAAACGTTTGGGAAGCGCTGTAACAGTTGGCAAAACAATCCACGGTATTGTATTAGTACCTTTATTCGAATGAGGACCCTAAATGTTTACGAGGTCACAG